CGGGATGAGCTTCACGGGACAAACGGATCTCGAAGAGTCCAGGGGTTGAACCAGGTCATCTATAAATGTCCCGACACCGTTTGGGAATAGGAGGAGAAACGGGTTGACTCTGGTAATAATGTCTTAATGATAAGATGGAAATAGAGAACGGAACGAAATAGAAGGTTAGAGCCTAACCATAATGTGACGAGAAGCACGGAAAACATTATAGAACCCATTATAGCTCGTCAGCTCAGGAGATGTTTGCTTTCTTCCATTCATGTCCAATCTGCTTATTAATGTTATTTGGGGAAACCAATCCCTTTCGGAATAGCTTCCTAGGGCAGGTTCTGGTCACCCTGGCTGGCTTGGGTAACAGGATAAACGGCTAATCTCCATGCGCGAATATGATGAATGAAGCCAGAATCAAGGAAGGGTAGACGGCATTGACCAAGGTCATCCATTAATGTCGATTTCAATTTTCGTTGGTTACTCGGTTTTTTCAGGCAACACGAGGACTACGGACTGTGCCAGGCGGGAACGTCGGGGGCGCTCCTGGACGATGACACGATGGTGCTCGGCTCCCCGGGCCCGTTCACGTGGCGGGGCTCCATCTGGGTGACGCAGATCGGGGGAGAGTACCTGCACCGCGACAAGACGACCTACTACAGCGACCACTCGGACGCGAGCTCGCCAGTGGATAAGTACAGCTACCTGGGCATGTCCGTCACTGGCGGACGGTTCTTCGGCTACAACATGTGCTATGCAGCGGGGGCGCCCCGCTCCAATGGGCACGGGCAGGTGGTGATCTTCGACAAGGCCAACACCAACCCGATACCCGTGCGCCTCATCATCGACGGGGAGCAGTTCGGGTCGAGCTTCGGCTATGAGCTAACCACCGCGGATATCAACGGGGACAATCGACCGGATCTGATTGTGGCAGCTCCCGTCTTCTTCGGCAAGAACGAGGGAGGGGCCGTCTACGTCTACCAGAACGATCAGGACACGCTGCCTAGGAGGCACACCCTGCGGCTGACGGGGGCCCTGGAGAGCCGCTTCGGACTGGCACTGGCCAATGTTGGTGACCTGAACAAGGACAACTGCGAGGACATCGCTGTGGGTGCGCCTTACGAGGGCCAGGGAGTTGTGTACATTTACCTGGGGTCGCAACAAGGCCTCAACGACAAGCCCGCCCAGCGCATACAGGCCTCGGAACTGGGAGCCACAGTGCCCCACGGCCAGCCCATCCGCACCTTTGGGATATCGATAGCCGGCAACACGGACCTGGACGGCAACTCCTACCCCGACGTGGTGGTGGGTGCCTTCAACTCGTCGGCCACGGTGGTGCTACTGGCCCGACCTATCATCAACATCCAGACGAGTTACCGGAGCGAGGAGTTGCGCAACATCGACCCCAACCAGCCGGGTTGCCGGGCGGACGCATTCAGCAACCTGACCTGCTTCACCTTCGAGGCCTGCTGCAGCATCGAACCATACGACGATTCGACCAAGGAGCTCAGCCTGATGTACAGCGTGGAAGCCGAGACCTACGACCACCTCAAGAAGTTCTCACGCGCCTTCTTTGACCGGGACAACAAGCGGAGCAACGTCATTAGCCGCGTGGTCAAGGTGCGAACCGACGGCCGCGTGGCCTGCCAGATGGTCACCGGGTACATCAAGGCCAACACCCGCGACATCCAGACCCCCATCAGCTTCCGACTTAAGTACACACTGGAGGAGCCACCGCTCGCGGACTCCGCCCTCACTCGGCTCAACCCCATGCTCGACCAGACGCAAGCCCACATCGACTTTGAGGGCACCTTCCAGAAGGACTGCGGCGACGACGATCTCTGCGAAAGTGATCTGGTTATTCGAGCTGAGCCAAATATCACAGCCATAGGTGCGTATAGCGAAACTGCTTAACATCTTCCGAATCGCTTTGCTTACTTTCCTGAATTCGCGTTTTCCCGTATTCTCTGTGGACTCTCTTCTCCGCAGACAACAAGTACACCCTAATCCTGGACGAAACTGAGCTGGAAGTGGGAATTAGCGTGAGCAACCTGGCGGACTCCGCTTACGAAGCGCAACTATTCATTAGCCACCAGGCCGGCGTCTCGTACGTGGCCACCAAGAAGCCGGTAAGTGCCCACGGCCAAGCCCAAGAGATCAGCCGAACCGAATCCTCACTCCATTACGTTCTTCCTACCCGCAGACCAATGCCACTTGCAACAGTTTCAACACCACTTTGGTGGTCTGTAGCCTGGGCAATCCGATGTTGCGCGGAACGACGACGTTCGTTACCATCCGTTTTCAGCCTAAGAGTCTGGAGCCCAACGAGAATTCGATGCTGTTCCACATCTTCGCCAACACCACCTCCAAGCTCGTGGGCGGCGAGCCGCCCGAGAGGAATCTCAGCGTGAGCGTGGTGCGCCAGGCCAAGCTGCACTTCCGGGGCTGGGCGATGCCCGAGCAGAGCTTCTACAGCGGAGCCAGCCAGGTGACAGACAACTCGCCCATGGAGATGGTCGACGTGGGCTCGCAGGTGAACCACAGTTTCACCATCTTCAACGACGGCCCCTCAACGGCGCCCAAGGTGCGCATGATCATCCACTGGCCGTGGTCCCTCTACAGCGATCCGGAACGCGGGCACATGGACCTGTACCTTCTTTACCTGGAGCAAATGCCCACCGTGGAGATCGGTGTGGGCGAGTGCCATGTGGCGCCCGAGTATGTGAATCCCCTAAAGCTGGCTAGCGGGTCGCAGGAGTCGGCTAGCGGCTTCCTGGGTGCGCCGGCCACCCTCATGATGGTTCATGGTCGCTCACAGCTAAACAAGAACCAAACCCACTCAACCCACTCGACCCACTCAAGGCAGCAACGCAGCACCCTAGAACGAGTGACCCGCCTGGAGCGGCTCATCTACGAGCCAGAGGCGGCGGGTATGGGGTCCAGCGGCAGCGGCAAGAAGCAGGACATCGTCGAGCTGGACTGCAATAAAGGCACGGCTCGGTGCATCCGTATCGAGTGCGACATCTACAATATGCCGGCCAGGTCGGAGGCCCAGGTTATGGTGAAGGCGCGCCTGTGGAACTCAACGCTCGTCAGCGAATATCCGCGTGTAGACCGGGTACGCATCATCTCTACGGCCACCGCCAAGATACCCGAGGACTTTGGCGTCGAGGTGATGGAGCACAACGACATCGAGGTAAGTGCGGCTCCAGGGCATCACCCACCCGAACTGCCACGTTCAGTGCCTCAAATTTGTTCTCCCTCTTCCCTCCTTCAGGTCGAGACGCGCGCCTACCCTGAGCTTAGGAACCAGCAACGGGACACCGCCATACCGTGGCTGATCATCAGCTTAGCCATCCTTGTGGGCGTTTTGGTGCTGGCCTTGTTCACGTACATCCTGTGGAAGTGCGGCTTCTTCAAGCGGATACGGCCCACGGACCCCACGCTCAGTGGGAACCTCGAGAAGATGAACGAAGAAAAGCCCTTCCTGGCGGCCAAGAACACCCATCATGTTTTCTAACAAGAGGGCACCGTCGGCTGGGATCTGGCACGCCGGATCGCCCCCAAGAAGAGGCGCCGCCGTCTCCAGCTTCCTCTCCTGAACAGACAGCGGGTGCACGGCCAGCGCTGGTGGCGTCATAAATCCTCGAACAACAACGAGCTGGACATCCTTTCGCTGACGCCGCCACCGCCGCCCCTAAGCGTTCTGAATTGGGGCCACGATGGATACTACCAAGCCAGTGCCACCTGGTGGGGACACATATAATGTGGATAGGGAATTGGGGGTCGCGGGATCACGGAATCACGGGATCACGGTATCACGGGATCGAGGATCGTTGGGTAGTGGATTGTGGGTTGTGGTTCAATGTGCCATTTCGTTTACTTAATACAGCAAATCTGCTTAATCGATCAGATGGATCAAGAGCCCGGTATTCTTAGGGGTATTTCCATTTGTTTTTCCAGATATCTGTCCGGGCTAACAGGTATTTGCACAAGGGACTCCCGCCGCCGGGCTGTGCCTTTAGGTATAAAGATTAGCTAAGCCCAAAACGTTGATAATCTGTGTAAAAATTTTCTTATTCGTATAACTGTAGTTATGTGTATCGTTGGTATGTACGTGCATGTAGGGCACAGACCCGACCTAGGCTAAGCTCTAGCAGTAAGTAGTTAAGGGAGAACAAATTCCGAATATATTCATACAGTTGAAGCCTGCTATGATAAAACACTGCCAATGACACAAATATCTACAAAAACAGCAAATATAGTGGCTCGAAACAAGCCGGGGACTTTTTATTACCAATGCACTGGATACGAAAGTATTAGCACACTTTTTACGGGTGTCTGCTTAGCTATTTATTTGAATACGATGGATTACATTGCTAATTTAGCAGCATAATCTAAACTGACGTACGGACGGGAAAGTCCATCACAAAATATTTTTTTTATATGTTTTTATGACCTAATCTACATGTATTTATGTAGGTTCTTAGAGGTTTTAAGAGAGAGACAACACGTAATGCTTGTATTGATTCTTGTTTGTTTGTATGTATGTATGGTATAAAAATATAGTTATATTAGTTGTAAATAATATTACTTTGTCCTGTAAGTGTAACTGCAGTAATGCTAGCTGTAAATATGAAATTTTTTTTCTTTTGTATCTATTTAATATACTATTATTTTTTAAACCATACGCCCAACATATTTTGATTTGAATTTTCATTTGGCGCGCACTGTGACCAGCTGAAATTTGACTGAGGTTGGGCCTATTCTGGCACTCACCATACAGTGTGTACAGTATATGCTGTGGTGTGCAACAATCTTGTTGGGCGTGTTTTTCCGTGCCTTGCAAACCAGGCCCATCCCAAAATCCCATCTCTAGCTGGCTGTCATTGCTATGACACTCCAGAAATCGCATCTGGATGAACCAGGGCTGCAGGATCAAACACTTTTGGCGCGCACCTTAAAGCGGGGTCAATTCCCAAATTATATATAACAAATAAAATCAAATACTATTGCTTACTCAGCCAAAAGTCACATAGGTTTTTATTACAGACTGTAGATTACAAAATTGTCAAGTGTAACAATAATTTGTGTGCATCTTCTCTTATTTCGGGGTTTTTGTTTCTTTGCAACATTGGATTTATTTATTACATGTATAGCTATAGACATTTCTTGGAATCTATACATCTTCAAATTTTTGCTTGTTACTTCTTTCACGTTACCCTAGACATTCTACAAATGGTTAATGAAATCATCCCCTAAATTCGCCTTTTGTTCGCTGTCTAGTCACTATTAACTTTACTTTTACTGTTATTGTATGTGTAAGAATAATTGTAATCATAATTGTTATTTCTTTATCTGTAATTCAAAATGGAAAAGCATCGAGTATGATTTCAATGTGTCAAAAGATTCTCGGTCTGTCTCGTTCGCCAGCTCTCCTTCTATGCTGGAGCAAGGGCCTTGCTAAACCCTGCTCCAGGGCACATTCGAGCAGGATATATGTATGGGGTAGAGAAAAAAAAGAAGGTATTTATGGATCACTAGTAAAGGCTCTCGGTGTTCGAGGAGCGTGGCTTCTTAAGCTTCTCCAAGTTCTTTATGACTATGTCGTGGAGCGAAGAGTAGCGGTTGCGCACCTCGCAGACCACCAACCACAGACTGAGGTACTCCTTTTCATCCAGCTCGACGACGGCTCGTCGGTAGTCCTCGATGTGCGGATATTTCGCCACCTTTGACACGACCTTAGCGCGCGAGAGGAAGTATCTCGAGATCTGGTCGTAGAAGGCGGCCGCCTCCGACTCGACGGTCTGGATTTCGGCAAGGGTATCCTCCTGGATGGAGACGCCGAAGTTGTTGCCGTCCTCGATTTTCGGTATCATGAAAGAGATCCACATCTTCAAGAGATTGGCTGCAAGCAAATGCAACAATTAGTATAAGTGAATCATAGTCCACGCTGTTCACTTACAATGCTCTACCAGAGTACGGATGATCGGCTTGACGACTTTGATCATCTCGCAGAGTGGCTTGTTGCACGACACTGAGCCGTTTGGCAAAGCCAGTATCGGGGACCCCGCGACGATGACATCGTTGCGTGCACGCTTGTTCGGCGGATGATCATCGTTGGCGCTTTCGTCGTGGTTTTTGGCTAGCACTGCCGGCAGGACCGGAATGTTTACATCCTGGTGGACTTCCTCAAAATCGCGCTCATTGAACATGGGCGTTGCGAGCAGCTCGTTTAGCTGGACAATCTTCTCCGGGAAACACTTGGTAATCAGCAGCTCCGCCTTCTGGATCAGAGTGTCTTTATACTCCTGCACCTTGATAACTGTATCTTTCGGCATAGTCGTCAGTTTTTGTTGCGAAATTTTCAAAAGGTAAAACCAAACGGCGACGTCGACGACAAAATTGCGACAGTCGGTGAACAAAACAGTTAAGACTTTATATTCTTGAGCTAGTGGCACTCTGATGCTGCAATTGTATATTGTCAGTGCTGGCTTCTTAATAGTTTTACATTCATGCCGGAAAACTTACCGAGAATTTCTCTGATGCGAATTTATTCGGCAGCGTGCTCTAGGGATGTTAAACATATATTGATATATCAATCTATCGATATATATTTTTTGTTGATAATATATTTGTTACTGATATTTTTTTGACTGGCCAAAATATTAAAGATATAAATATTATTTATTTGGGTATATAATAAACTGCTTTTCCTAATTAAAAGTTGTCACTATTTTGTTGTTGTTTCACGACGTTAGACTTTTTATTCTGCTTATCATTGCACAGGGTAGCTACACAGAAATATCGGTATTTTTGTTCGATAAGCGGAACTGATCGGCACTTTATTTTGAAAATCCTTATGGGAAAAGCGTCCAGTTTGAGCGAAAGAAATATATACTTTAGATTCGATTAGTTGATTAGTCCTGAAATTGTTATCTCTATCTTTTTGAGACTCAATCTCTATGTGTAGTGGAATGTGACGAATATTCTTCAGTCAGCGAAACTATCGGATGACTACTTTTGCAGCTCAATTATCGATATTCGCATATCACACGCCCCCGATGACCGATGTAAATACATTGTAGAGGACACATAAATAATTAACAATTAACAACACAAATAAGGGACGTGAAGAACACTGTTAATATAATGTATTGCGCATAGTATATGATTGTCCGACACGTACCAATTGAGAGTATCCATCCGCTGCCACAGAACAGAGCTCGGGAGCGGCTCCCTCCCATGGTTAATCTGCATAGATAAAAGCAGCAGTTAACTTCATTTGCATACATATATTGTTAAGGACGGACGGCGGTGGAGATGGGTAACAAGCAAATCAAACAGCACCTGGAGACGGCACAGAAGACGGGCATACTAAAGATCTCACTGCAGCGACTGCAGGAGTTTCCGCCCCAGCTGAAGGCCTATCCGAATGTCTTAAAAACGCTCGATCTGTCCGAGAACCGCTTCGAGCACATGCCCGACGAGCTGGGGCGACTGACGCTGCTAAAGCATCTTAACCTGAGTGGCAATCGCCTGATAGAGCTCAACACCGTGGTGGGCGAGCTGTTGAAACTGGAGGTGCTGCTGCTGATGGACAATTATTTGACACAGCTGCCCAAAACGTTGGTCAACTGCACCAATCTCAAGACGGTGAACTTGAGTAACAACCAGCTGAAGGAATTTCCATCGATGCTGTGCGGCCTGACTAAACTGGATGTGCTCGATCTTTCCAGGAACAAGATTACTAAAGTCCCTTCGGAGGTGAGCAGTCTCTGCGTCACCGAGCTGAACCTCAATCAGAACCAGATTTCTTCGCTGGCCGAAGATGTGGCCGACTGTCGCAAGCTGAAGACCCTGCGGCTCGAGGAGAATTGTCTACAAGCAATCGCCTTCACGCCGCGCATTCTCAAGGATTCAAAGATTTGCATCCTTGCCGTCGATGGAAATCTGTTCAACTCTAAGCAGTTCACCGACCTCGACGGCTATGATGTTTACATGGAGCGGTACACGGCGGTCAAGAAGAAGATGTTCTAGAACACACCTCCCATTCATGGAAACATATATCTTCGTGTCCCCTATTTATGATTCTAAACTAATTTAATAGCTTAATTGTATGTACGCCTTCATTGTAAATCGTTGAGAATAAACAGAGAAAAGACAAACTACCCCTCCATATAGATATGTATGTAGATCAAAAAGTAAGAAAGATGCAAATATATGAGTATGGAAAATACTCATGTGAAAATCTTATATGCTTCTGGAATTCATTAGAGCTTGCCCCGCATCATGGGCTGTAGGTGGCTGCGGAAGGTGGCGTTGACAGGCTCCTGGTTGAGAGGATTGCGGCGTGCTTCCGCCATCAGACGCTCGTACACGCGTCCATCGTAGCTGCCCAGAGTGGAGCCGAGCGTACGATCATGGAAATCGAAGCCATCCACCAGAGCCACAGCATTGGGACGCAGCTTTGTGAGGAGTTGTTCGAATCTGCGCTCCACCAACCGCAGCTGGGTACCGGTGATGCTGTTCCAGCGCAGCACGGGGCCGGCCTGGCGCAGGAAGGTGTCCAGCACGAAGAGCTCCACCAGCTGGCCCAGTACGGCGGAGACTTGTGTACTAAGCGGACCCCGCCTGAGGCGCTCCAGCTCCTGCAGCGAGTTCCTGGTGAGGAAGGCATGGGCATGGGCTACGGCGGCCGCTGTGAGTTGCCTGCCAGCCAGATTGTTAGACTGCTGCTCGCTCAACTTCCTCTGGCGATGCATGCTCTGACTCTGCCAGGCCTGGCGGGTCTGCTCCATGGCGGAGATCTCCAGAGCGCGGGCGGCGTTCTCTGCCAAATCCTTGCCCCAGCTAAGACGAGCCGTGTTCCGCAGATAGGTCACACTGCCGGGCAGCACTCGTCGCTTCAGACTGTCCGTGTATTGGCGCACCAGGAAGCGGGCCGTCTGCAGCATGAGGACGGTGTACTCACCTTCGTACGTGTAGGCGGCTGTGGCCATGCCGTAGATGCTGTCGAAGTTTGCCGACGACAGGAAGCCGTGGCCGCCGCAGGCCTTACGTAGTCGATCAATGCCCTCGCTGGCCTCGTCGGTGGCCACGGCCTTCAGGCAGCAGCTGAGGGCGTGTAGCTCGGGCAAAGAGTGCTGTCCAGATCCGCGCTCCAGCTGGTCCAGCACGCTAGCGTAAAAATTCCAGAGCCAGTCGGCGGCCAGGCGGTAGCAGACTCCTCGCGCAATCTGCGGCAGGATCTTCACCTGCTGCGTTATGTGGTCGAGAATCTGCACCTCCGGCTGATTATCATCAATGGGGCTCTGGCGACGAACGACGGAGTATCTGGGGAAGGCAGGGAGGCGATATTTGAGCAAGAAATCGACTGGGGTTCATCTGTCTCACCTGGTGGCAATGGTGGCTGCCTGGAGGAGGCCGTGCAGCACATCCCTGAGGGTGATGACCCTCACATACACCATGGTGCCGTAGAGAAGCAGCGGTGGCCGGCCCTGGACGAAGGTACCATCGGGCAGCACCTGGGCATTCTTCATCAGCATCTGATCGCGCGGTATCCGGACATTGCGCAGTCCTAGGAAGCCGTTGTTCACACCGTTACCGCCCAACTTGGGCCCAATGTCCCCCACATCGACGCCGGGTAGCGGCTGGTGTGTCTCTTCGTCCCGGATGCGGACCAGGAACGGCTGCAGGCCGTGATGTTGACCCTTTACGTACAGCTGAGCCAGCACGATGGTCATGTTGGCTGTATTGCCCAGGCCGCCGGGCCACCACTTGTAGGCACTCAGGCTGGGGGTGTTGAGGACGAACTCCTCGCTCTCTGCATCGTAGTCGGCGCGCGTCTCCAGGCCGCGCACAAAAGTGCCGTGGCCCAGCTCCGTCTGGGCATAGGTGCCGATGATGCCGTCCATGTGCCAGGCGCGGGTCAGCCACTTGTGCAGCTGTTCCTCGGTGCCCTGGCTGAGCAGCGTCGTGAGGAACATGGAGAAGTGCAGGCGCAGGGGGAAGCTCTGCTGGAAGAGGGCGGTGCCCAGTTGGCCAGAGAGAAGCACGCGAAACTCGCGCAGCGAGTCCACACTAAGGCTGAACTGCGGCTGGTTGGTGCTGTGCCACTGCCGCAGCTTGACCAGGAACTTGGTGGACCTGGCAATAGTCTGCTCATAGCGCTCCTTATACGACAAGCAGCTGGGATGCACTGCCTCCTCCAGCTCGGCATCCTTAAACACAAAGCGTTCCAGTGCGCGGCGCTCCTCCAGCTTGTCGCTGCCGCCCGCCCACCATCGGGCAAAGTCCTCGCTGTCAATGCTGGCCCCCGACCGCTCTCGCTGTAGATCAACGTTCACCGACGACATCTCAAATACCAAAGCTCTGCACTGCGCAAACAGCGAAAGTACACTGAGCCTCTGGTGGCTGCAAAAACCACTGGGGAGCAGACGAAGCCAAAGAGAGGCAGCTGCTGACAGTCGCCAGTCCAGTAGCCGCCCGCCGCCCGCCAACCGCCGCCCACCGCTCGCCCTGACACCCTCCCTAGGAGGTGGTGTCAGTGAACCGCCAGCCAGTACAGTATACGTGAGCAAACGAACACTAGAGCTCCTTCGGCTCGTGTGCTTCGTGTGAATCGTGTGCGTGTTTTTCCGCGATCATCTGGTTTTGCCTGCACTCAGCTTGGAGGCATCTGATTTCTGGGCCATCCAGAGGTGGAGATAGCGCGTATCTGCGCGTTCCAGATATGAATTTTTATTTTTATTTGTATGTAATCTCCGCAAACAATAATCGGGAGCTTTTCTTAAATTCTCATTTTATTTCTTTTAGAAAAAGCGACACAGACATTTGGTTTTACTACGATTATTCTTAATTTGTTTACCCATTCGGTTCTTTGACTTACATATAGTAAGTATTTGTGCAACATTCAACAAAATATACATATATGTATATATAAATAATTGATTCTCTCTCGACTCTCGACTCTCGGCTCTCGGCTCCACTAAAATACCTTCATTTTGCTCTCTTCATCGGGCTGTGCGTCGTGCTGGAATTCTTTCTCTGCTATGTTTATTTTTATTTTAGACCCTATTCTTTTTATAAGTCTCGCTATCAGCTCAGATACGAGTGGGCAAAACAAGTTCGCTCTGGGTGCCTCGGGGTCGGGATTACGGGCTGATGGTCTTGTGTCGAGAGGCGTGTCTGCTCCATTGCCAAAAATAACCACAGATAACCCTGCACTAGAGGGACAACTGAAAACGTAGCCATAGCCGTGTCCAGTCGATTATTCCGACTAAGGGTCACCCGCTACTCATCTACAGATCTTCAGTACGAGTTCTACGAAGTTACCAAATATGCATCCATATACCATCCTATAATATGCTAAAGGAGTTGGCAATAGTTGGCGATAAGTACATACTTATGTGCATGTATCTACGGGGTTGGCAATATTCAATCATTCGACGAGCATCGGGTATGAACAGACAAAGACCACCAAGACACCGGGCCTAGCTCTGGCAATGGAATCGATTTCAAACTGGGACGACGACACACTTGGCTTAATAGTTACAGTTTGTGTTTTCTGTTTCTGTTTGGGTTTTTGCTTTTACTCTTTCGATTTTCCAACAAATACTTCCACCAGATGAGCATCTCGTTGTGCTCTATGAAACGGTAATCTCATCTCTTCTTGGCCCTGCGACTGCTAGGGAGGGAGGGCCGCAGACGAAGCGAGATATAAGGATGGGATGGAAAGACAGCTAACGGTACGAGTACAGTTGCGGATTACAGTTACAGCTACAGGGTCCTACGGAGGGAAAACACATATTCCCGATGCCGTTCAGAATCGACTGCTTTTGGCTTTCTTGTTGTTGTTTGTTCTTCATCGTTTATCGTTTATCGTTTGTTGTTTGTTTTTTTGTGTTTTTTATTCAAATTGTTCAATTTTTGTGTGTGTTTATGTACATACATACATATAATAATAGTTTTACTTCATTTCAGACATTTGTTGAACATCGTTATCGTTATCGTTATCGTTATGCACACGCATACAAATGCATTGTCGAGTTTATACATATATTTATGTATATGTATGTGTGTGCACATATGTATATTATTAGGGGTTATTATTGTAACAGTTATTAGGTATACATACGTATATAAGATCTCGGCAACATTTAACAACAATTATCTCTTATTTTAGTTTAGTTTTTAGTTTAAGTTTTTCTTAGTTTTTGTGTATTTTGTTTTTGCTCTGCACTCGATTTTCATTTTCTCACATTTATTGCACAATATATATGTATATTTAGTTATATATACCTACCATATATATATATGTATATATATATATATATATATATATATATATATATTTATAGGATTTTTTTAAATAATATTATGTTGTACTTGAAACTTGCACTAAACTATAAATTGTACAAAAAGATTTCGATTTCTCATCTTTATCTTCTCCTCCTTACTCTTCCTTTTTTTTATAAGGTCGGTGTTTATCTAGTACTTCTTCGTCCTCTTCTTGTTCTATTAGGTCTAATTTTATCAACTAAAGCATTTTACATAACACATACTCATCTCCCTGAGGAGGGGCCTAATAGGGAGGGGGCTAGGGTTCTAGGGTTCTAGAGTGAGGTCTCTGCGGATAGAGGCCTGGGGCTGGGGTGTGTTATGTTCTGAGGGAGGGGTCTCGGTTGAACCTGCCCCACACCTGTCCCACCAGTCCCAGTCCCAGCCCCAGCCCCAGCCGCGTCCAAAACCCCCTACTGATCTCTCTTTTAAGTTTATAGTGTACTTGTTTACCGTTAGGTTAGTTGAAACTTCCTTCCTCTCTCTCCCTCTCTATCTCTCTCTCCTTCACACAAGCATAAATACATACATATACATTTAGCTGCGAGCGTGCGTGCGTGCGTGCGTGCTTGTGTTTGTGTGTGTGCCTCCCCTCCACGCACTCTCCGCACACTATTCTAAAGAAAAATCATCTAAAAAAAAATGCAAAAAAAAATATAGGAATAGGTTTTCTCTCTCTCTCTCTCTCTCTCGAGACCTTCAAGCTCGAAGGAACAATAACTAAGAAATCTACTTAACTAAATTCAATATTCAATACGCTTTCTATATATCGTCCCTCACATTTGCATGTTTCATAGTTTTCTTTCACTTTCACTTTTTTTTTCTT